AAACGGGGTAGACTCGGCACCTGCCGACCGCTGTCTCGTCACCGACGTTTTCGACTTCCTCGAGGTGAACGCCGCCCGATTTCATTCGATTCGCTTGATTTTCTAATCGATCTGTACAACAACGCGCACTCGAGACAAAACTTCTATAATCTATGCAGAATCGCAATGAAAACGTGAAAATTTATTCCAACTTTTCCGCATTTATCGACGTCGAAATGATCTATCATTTTAGCGTATCATATTTATTTCGTTGCTCGCTCGGATATCAGGACAAGTCTTACTCCATGGTGCTGAAATGAATCTCTCGATAGAGATATAATTGATAGATAAATGATTCACTTCCCGGAGCTTCCAATACGCCCGCTGCTCTCGTTTCCTCGTCGCACATTTTTCTGCGAGACCTCGCCAGGTGAACTGGCGCGAAAAGATCTCCTCTCGTCGATTCGTCAGGTCAACGGATATCCGTAGGCGCGTGTTTCCGAAAAGTGGCCGACTCGCCGCTAATAATAACCCGCCGGAGTCTCGTATCGTCGTAGGCTGGACTTATATTTCGCGGTGCCGGAAACCGATTCCGAAATATCCCGTGCGAGACCGCGCGGAAGCATTAAAAGAATAATCTGGCGGTCCACTCTCGGGCCGCGCGAGACGAGATCTCCGCCCACGGAGGAACGTGTCCGATGCCAAAAACACGGGATCGGTTTCGTGCCGCGCGACGGTGGTTGTTGAAACGATCGGGCTTTCCGTAAAATATATGCGCGATCGGACACGCGCATTTCCGGCCGGCTTCTCTCTCCCCGCGCGCGAAGAAAACTCGCGGCGAGCGGGGAGGAGTCTCTCCTATCGGTCTAGATCTTAATCGATCCTTCGCGAGATTTCATGAATGCCAAATTGATTTCAATTTAATACGATATCTCGATATAATTGATGTTCGTTACACGCCGTATATCCAATTAAAATTACTATGGGGCGAGTTAATGCCGTCGTGATAGCACTATGCGGCCATGACGTCAAAGGAGATGAGATGAATCCGCAATTTCTAGTTTAACGCCGCGCTATTGGCCAATATGCAATTAATAGCCTAATTTCCTGCCGAGGTATATAACGTACAAACCGGCTGCTGTTGCTGCTGCTGCTGCCGCCGCAGCTCGAGAGATTTTATCGAAACAAATCAAGTCGATTTGCCACGTCACTGCTCGCGGAGAGTTTAATTGTCTAGGTCTCTCTCCTATTAAATCACACTGTGCTCTTCAACTATCGCATCGGGCATCGGCTGCGGAAAAAATAATAATAATAAAAATAAAATAATAATAAAAATAATTAACATACCCTGAAGAATGTAACGTAACGTAAAGATGCGGCATGTTCGAGAGCGTTTAATCCCGTATGTGAGTGGCGTGCGTCGAGATAAATCGCCACGGTGAGGTTGCGAGGAGCGCGAGACGATAAGAATAGCTGATAAGAATGCAAACGCCTCGTCTTCCTGGGGTAGTTACCCGTGCGTTATTTTCAATGAAGCCGACCACCACGAAATTTCGCATCGCCTTGAACATCGTATTCATCATTGCACGTACGTCTTCCGCATGTTTAATTATGGCTGCTCGCAAAGTTGCAAAATGAAAAAACATTGTTTGATTTTAGTTGTTAAAAAAAAAAAAAACTCGCGATGCTCGATTGATACAGATTAATCTTAATCAAATTCGCAATAGATAACTCTATGAAGATGATACTTTGCTCAGATATTTGGAATGCGGAACATATGATTTTGCTGTAAAAATATTTAAAAAAAGTTTCGCGATAAGGTGAAATTTCTATGTTAATCGACTATTCTATGTTAATCGAAAAAAAAAAATCGATTGCATCGTGTGATTTGATAACGCGACAGATACAAATGAGCACATCTGCCGATCGCGGCGCCTAACTGAGAGATTCTCAAGGAAAATTTTAGATCCGGAAGCGCGTATATCAAAATGCGCGCAAAATACTTTTGATGTCACACGTCGAGGATGCAGAGCCTAAAAATGGCAGCGGATGTACGAACGACATAGGTTAGCGTCCATTTTTTTGATATCTGACATTTTAAATAAGGTTAATAAATTAGGTTAATTCATACAATTTAAGTTACATTTAGTTAAGGTAATTTTATTTTGTCTCAATCTTAATACGGTATCTAAGTTACTCGAGCATTTTAAAAATAAAGATCTGATAGTTTATATGTAAGCAAAGGTAACATAAACAATTACAAACTTGTTAAAGATATATGTGTATTTGATATATCGTATTAGTGGCAAAGGAATGTGATAATTCTGTTTCGCGAGTAAGCCTGGAGAGTTCCGACGAAGAGATCCAAGCGGCGTCCAAAACAAGTCAAATATTAGATTCTAACTCAAAATCTGATTCAAAAACAGATGAAAATAATGAAAAATGCATCGATACAAAATCACAAGATAAGGATGGTACGTCTTAAACAAATTCCACGTTTTATATCAGAAAAAATATAATTACATTATAATTTGTATATCAAAATGTTAATAACCATCAATGTCTCTAAGTTGATTTGAAATGACATGATATCTAGATAAAATAATTTCAGACGCGAGTGTCGTTTCCGGCGACATTTGTAGAATTTGTCACATGGGCGGATATGCCGCGATCACAGACAATCATCCGTCGTGTGATTCGCAAAGTCAGGACGATCAGGCATCGTCAAACTTCGTCTATCTCGGCCCTTTGATCTCCCCTTGCAAGTAAGGCTCTCATCTCGAGGAAATTACACGACACTCGCGCCACGGGCGAGATCTATAATAGAGAATTTATAGATCTCCGACTTCGAATCACACGCGCGAATTATTTTCCATTCGCAAAGAAGGATCGGACATCAATCTGCTCGAGTCAACGTCGTGTCGAATTAAGCTTAAGCCGTGCCTGGGGATTAAGACTAGCTCTTCGAGAAAAAGAATCGCGATCGAAATGAGACATCCTTCTCATTTCGATCGCGATTTTTTTTCTCGAAGGATGTGAAAACGTGGCATCCAGTGAGGCGCGCGAGTCGACATCGTAAATCGTGGTGGATCATCGGCGGATGACACGGAAATCGCGCGTTATAAGTCAGCTAAGAGAGACGTTCGCCCCTCCTTATGTTTAACACTTACGACAGATGCCGGGGTACGGTGGGCCTGGTGCACGCCGAGTGTCTCGAGAGATGGCTGACCGAATCCGGTCGCGCGAGGTGCGAACTCTGCGGCTACAAATACGCGATCAGGAGGGTACGGCGTTACAGCCTCTTTCGCAGCGTCGTAATATGGTTCCACACCGTAATAGCCACTCGACAGGTGAGAAAGAGATCGTTAACTCCCGTCGCTTTTCCCTCCGCATTCGTTTCACCCGAATGCTGGCCTAAAGCCCGTTTTAATTAGCTCCTCCTTCAAACGCGATTCCGTTTGATATGTACAAAAATGTGCGTTAAAACGTCGCATTAAACATTTTTCAAACCGGATGGACATCGCGAGGCTGTAAAACATCCGAGTCTTCACGACGGATATTATCGTTTTAACGACGTGATGTCGTGTAAAATTGAAATTATTACAACGTTGACGCGGCATCTAATAAGATATCGCGCGAACATATCGTTTTCCATGTAATTAAATTTTTAATTATCGTTAATTCACCTTATTTTAATACGCAATCTTTCACGAGGAGATGCTGCTCGACATCGGGTATTTGGTGATGACCACGCCCGTGGCTGCGTTTTCCTGTTACGTGTGCGCCTTGGCCTTGAAAATGCTGCTGCAAAACGGCTTTTACGATCTACCCTGGATGATAGTCGCTATGCTGCCAACCTGCTTATTGACGCTGATAGCTTATTGGCGATGGATAATTACGTTAGGGAGGTACGCCGTTATGTTTAAAACCAGCTCGTGCGCTCGTGCGCGGATAAAACAGTCGTTAATCGAGAATAAGTTAATTAAGACATTACCCGGAGGCGCGATTACGTAATTATAAAAAAATTCGCAAACTAGAAGCTGCGTTTCGAAATTAATTCCAGCCGTCGGAAAAATGATCCATGATCGATGCTTTCGCGTCATCGAAGAAATATGCGGGAAATGAAATTGAATTATGCATGATGCATCTTTTCCGTATTACAGATTGCACGGCCATCGATGGAGACGCTATTGGAGAAACAACTTTGTAGTTCGTCTGGTGCCCGATAGCAACGTCAATGACAACGTCGATCTGCGACGATCGAGCAATCGTTTCGACACGCAAGACGAGTTTGAACAATGGAGGATCGAGGAGATCGAAGAGCTCGCGTGACTCTCAACCGTGTCAACCGCAAGCGAAACAGTTGTTTAATCACGACAAACGTTTTCTATTTTTATACGCATCCCCGTCTCATTGACGGAACCTTGTCGTACAGCTGCGCAATATTTAATTGCATTTTATTAACTGGACACTTCAATTGAAGCTCATTGCCGCGTAACGAAGACGATTCGCCGCGGCATCAGAGTCAAATTAAAATGCGCGTCCGATCCGAAACGCTTCCGGAAATATTATATTTGTACTCGGATTTTATTTAAACATTTTATACTTTTTTTTTATGCACATTCTGCATTTGATTAAAGTGATTAATCATTAAAGATTATCGACGCCCTGACGTTTTTATTAAAGACATTCCGATGGTGCTTTTCGTTCTCGATAATTGAGCAGAAGCGTTACGAGCCTGCTCTTGCGAACGGTGTAAATGGTGTGTG